GCTCTGCTGATCCCTGACAGTCCGGACCACGTACCTTCCGTGGGCTTTGGTGATTGGTGACGCTTTGCAGTCAGGAGGAGGAGGAATTCTTTTAGAAACACAAAAAGAAAGAAACAGACACAGAGAGGGATAAACCTAGACTTAAAAAAGAGGAGAGCTGTGAGAAAGGGCGGTGGTCACTTCGTGGCTTTCTTTTCGAGATTTCTGGATTTGGAAACCCAGAGCTCTCTGCTCTGACCCAAGTCACTGGAACGTTTTGGTCTCCCTGCACTGCACCGTCAGAGGAGGAGCAGGATTGGGGAACAGAGGGTCAGAGGGGTCTGGTGCTTCCTGACTCTGGTGAGTTCTGGCTTGGTCAGAACATTTGTGCATGCCTTAGGCTCACCTGACTCCCAGGGCTTCCTGTAACTGTGTCATTAAGTCCAAACATTTTTAGCAAAGTCCTCATTTTATTCAACTTTTTTTTTTTTTCAATCCATGAGACTTACTAGATTCCCTGTTGTGACTTTTCATAAGACTCTATTTGCAAATCAGGAGGATTCTTCTGTCATACTATCTCTGGTGCCTCCATTTTTGGTTTGGATAACATGGCTGCTGCACTGATTGTCCATTCAGGTCTTGCTGTGGCTTTCCTGGCCCTGGCTACCTACCGTGAACAGGCAGCTGTTTGAAGAATACAAGTTGGTAATTTTATAGAATATCCCTCAATTTGGGTTTGTCTGATGCTTTCTCATGGTTATATTATGCGTTTGTGTCAGTAATACCGTGAGGCATCTGCTATATTTAGCAAGTTTCTAGCTTTTGCAATCTTAAAATGCTTTAACATCTGCCCTGCAGGCACATGCTGGACACACCTTGTACTGGACAACCTGATAATATGTCCCAGTCACCTTGCCTTGACCTCCTGCCTGCCTTATTGCCTCCCTCCTCTGAGAGTTCTCCCAAAGGAGTGCTTTTCAAATACAAACTGACCGATCTTGCCAGTGCCTTCCCTCAGAAACCACAGAAAAGGTCCTTGCCCACATTTTCCCTCCTCTCCCTCCCAGGAGTGCTCGCTCTGGTACTTCCTTGTGCAGGGATGCTCCAGTGGTGTGATATGTGTTCCTCTCTTGGGAGCTGGAAGTATAATAAACTACCTTTCCAGTGGCAGTCATCTCCTGATCTATTGACCTTACTATACCTAAATAGTAATGAAACCTATTAAGACATCTGCCTGGTTTCTCCACTTCTCTTACTATTTGCTATTTTTGGAGAGATAGCTCAATTTTTTTTTTGCCGTGATCTATAATAAGGTGATCACATATATATATACACATATGAATGAACCAGGAGTTTTGTGAAAGAATACATATGCTTTCCACATGAAAGTTATTTTAGTTTCTGTTCTGTTTTATTTAACTTGAAAATAATTCTTGTCTGAGCTACTGAATTGATTTCTTACCCTCTCTCTAATTAGTAATGATCTTTGTTTGAAAGCACTAGCTTTCATGCAAATATCACTTTGGATCATCTGATTGCAGAATGAAAAAGAGATGGATATATGGTGGAGGGTAAAACTGACAACAAGGAACTTGTATAAAGCTCTTGCCATAATTCAGGTGAGAGAGTCCAGGTGGCTACTGGCCAGGAGGTTGAGAGAAGTGGCTGGGTTTGGGAGTTAAGAAAGTAGATTGAAGATTATAAGTTAACAGCACCTCATGATTGATTGCATATAGGGGTGGGGAAGAGGGAGGGGTTAAGAATGACAATTCAGGCCTTGGCCTCTGGGGTGGATGGTGGTGCCCCTCTCTGAGATAAGGAACAATGTAAATTTATGGTTCAGGCTCGACCATGTTGAGTTTGAGGTATTACAGATAGTAGATTGGATCTGTTCAGGGGACAGTTGGCTCTATGGCATTTAGGAAGCAAGTCTGGGTTGGATTAATAGCAAACTGAAGTTGAATTTTACTCAAGGAGATTTTACAACTAAATGCCCATTGCAGGAAGTGGGAAGTTGGTTCAAGATAGGAACAAAGGCTCTGAAAATATTTTTAGTGATTTGTTATTGAGATGCATAAGTAAAATAATATGCACAAGTCAAAAATGTTTCAAGGAAGTTAATTAATATAAATTTACTAGAATACCACTTTTCTGCACTTTTCCTGTCTGTCTCCGTTTAACTGTAAACTCTTATATGCATATATGTGGAGAGAAATGTGGAAAACAAAGAAATTACACTTTACATTATATAGAAACAATGTCGGTTTAAATCACAACTGTGCTAATTTGCGCTTTCCTGGATGCTGGTTCTTAGATTTATTTAATCCTCCAAATCTAGCAGCAGATATGGATACCGGAGATAAGCAGGCGCATGATACAGGCTGCAAAAGATGCTTGTTTTCAAGTGGCACGAGTTTGGGGTTGCACTGAGAAAATGAGATTTTCTAGTGGAAAAGAGTGTGGATGTGTGATTTACATCCACAGTGTGCGGAATGATGGGCCCTGCTCCGTTAGTGGTCCCTCATTCCCCATCCCCACACTTTATCTGCTCCCCTCCTTCCTCCTCCCTCCATTCTTTCCCCCCTTCACCCGCGTTATTCCGGGATTAACGGCGGGGTCGGCCCCATACACAAACGCAGCTGGCTAGTACCGTCAGCCTGAGCCCTGCTGTGCAACCACGTCAGGAATTCCAGTAAGTTGGCAACACTGGAGCACAAAGACAACAACAATGAGGAAAACCCTTCAGTGCAGAAAGGAATGTTTGGAGCCCTGGCTGCTACAGTGAAAGGACACACACACACACGCACACGCACCAGCACACACGCACAGCCGCGCTCACCCTCCTGCACCCCCTGCGCGCCCACGCCCGCACTGGGAGCCACCCAGCCCCTCCCGCGCTCGCCTCCGCAGCGCCCGCCGCAGCTCTTTGTAACTCGGCGGTGCGGGGACGCTCATTGACTATGCAGCGCGGCCTGGGCGGGCGTCGGAGCCGCCTGACCCCGGCGCGGTCTCGTACCATCGCCCCGGCCGCCCGGAACCGGCATAAATCACCAGCCGAGACTGAAGTGCAGCTTCTCGCCCCCTCGCCGCTTCCCTCCTCCCACCGGCCTCACCCTCTTGACTTCCCAGACCCCTCTGCCCCTCCGGTCCCCAATCTGCCTCCTCCTCCGCGCCGGACAGCGCCGGTGCCGCGCAGGGAGGCCAGCAACGTTCCGGTGACTTGGGTCAGAGCAGTTCTCGAAGAGAAAGCCGCGGAGTCACCGCCGCCCTTTCTCACAGCCCTCCTCTTTTTTTAAGTTTAGGTTGGTCCCTCTCTGTGTCTGTTTCTGTCACTCTTTTTGTGTTTCTAAAAGAATCCCCCATCCCCCTGACCGCAGAGCGTCACCAGCCACCAAAGCCCACGGAAGGTACGGAGTCTGGACTGTCGGGCGCCAGCAGAGCCCCAGACAGTCGGCCAGCGCTCCAGCGAGAAGGGGTGACAATAGCCGGCAGGTTCTCGCCCCTGGGAAGGGCGGGGCGGGGCGACCCTGTCCGCGACTCAGGGCGCACAGGGCTGCCGCCTCCACTTTTGTGGCCCCTCTGGCTGAGGGTAAAGGGCTCCTGACTCCTTGGACCAGGACCTGGCTCCTGGGGCCCTGCTGCCGAGTTACTCCAGAACCCGGGACAGGGGATTCTGGGGCGACCCCCGCCCAAGAACGGCCCCTTCTCGCAGACAGGGATCCCAGGGCCAGGAAATAAGTCGCGCCATCCCCCCCCCCCCTTTTTTTTTCCTGCCGGCTCTAGAGTCACTAACTGCGTGAGGAAGATGCTCAGGGAGAGGTAAGGTTCACCCGCAGGGCCCTTGGGGACAGAGCCCCCGCAGCCTGTCTAACGCTGCCTTGCAGAAAGGGAGCTTCAGGGCTCCCCGAACCCTTTACGTCTCTTCCTCATATAAACGCGCACTAGTACAACCCAGAAAACGTTCATTCTTTCCGATTTTGCGTCATATGGAACAAGTTTGTAAGAAACGCGATCCGGCGGTGACACCTGTGTATGTGCTGCTTCCGAAAAGCTAAACAAGGATCCAACTCTTCCCCCCCCCCAACATTGATCTACCCCCTTTCTCTTGTAAAAATAGCACCCCATCTCAGCATCTCAACTCTACGGGTGCAACCGGGGTGTCCGAGAAGCCTAGGGATTTCAGACTAGAAAATGGTCCCGGGTCGCCTGGGTGGCTCAGTCGGTTAAGCGTCCGACTTCAGCTCAGGTCATGATCTCACGGTTCGTGGGTTCGAGCCCCGTGTCGGGTTCTGTGCAGCTCAGAGCCTGGAGCCTGCTTCCGATTCTGTGCCTCCCTCTCTCTCTGACCCTCTCCTGCTCACGCTGTCTCTCTCCCTCAGAAATAAATAAAACATTAAAGAATTAAAAAAAAAAAAAGAAAAAAGAAAATGGTCCCAAATCTCCCCCAGCCGGCTTAATCCTTCCATTTCCTTCTCTTAGTTTTCTTCCTTTTTTAAGACTGTCGGTGGTGGATTCCCCCTCGGACAGCGTAGCGGACTTCCGTACGCAGGCCAACCTGCGGAGAGGTTAGGGCAGAACCTGCCGCTGTGTGTGTCAGGCGGGTGTTCGCACCAGTGTGAGACTTCGAGGAGTGTGTAAGCGTATGCATGCCTCGCTGTGAAGTGTGCGTGCACGTGTCGGTGTTTGTGTGACTGTGGAGTAGCCGCACGCGTGCGTGACTTAGCAACGTGTGTGCCGGCGCGCGAGCAAGCGTGTAAGACTGTCAGTTTGTGGGACAGTGAAGAATGTGGGCGACGGTGTGTGCGCGACCGTAAGAGGTCGTGTTGAGTGCGCGCGCGCGTGTAGAGTGTGCATGTGAGAGCGCACGTGTGTTCGAGTCCCTACTCCTCCCAGCGCTGCGAAGTGCAGGGGGCGGGCCTGGCGGCAGGGGGCCTGCCCCGCTGGATTCCCGCATGCTAGTTCCGGGGCGGTCGGGTCTCAAGGGCTTTATGCACCGTCTGGAGGGTGGGGACTGGCGCGGGTAGAAAACGGGATGCCTCGGGCGCCGGGGCCGGCTTTCCGCTACTAGGAGTCCGCCGGGGTGCAGGCCTACAGGAGCGCTCGCGAGCAGAGGTGCTGCCGGTGCCGCGTGCTACGCGCGCCCACGTCCCGGGGAAGGAACGGCGAGGCCGGGGCCCCGGATGGTCGCGGGGATGGAGCGCGGCGCTGCGGCGGTGGCGTGCACGCTGCTGCTGGCTTTCGCCGCCTGCCCGGCGCCGGCCAGTGGCCAAGGTAAGCGCCCGCTGGCCGGAATTCCGCGCAGAGCCCCGGACTTACCCGGCAGTGGCTGGGGTCGAGCCCGTGAGCGCACAGAGGGGACGGCGCCGGGCGGGGGGCTAGGGCAGGGCGGCGGCGCTGGAGCGGCTCCCGCCGGGGCGCTCAGGTTGCTCAGCAAGCGGCGAGCGAGAGCGCCCCTCCTTCGCCCGCCCGGCAGCTGAGCAGCCGCAAACTTGAGAAGGCGGCTCTCCCGGTTTCGGTGACAGCGCACCCCACGGGGACCCCGTCTTTGTTCCCACGGGACTTTCTCCCGACCCTCCTGAAAGCACTCTGCCGTTGGAACCCGGAGAATGAGGTTCTCTCAGCCGGTGCGCAGTCTGTCCCCCCCACCGACTTACTCGCTGGGTGGGGGAGCGCTCCTCGGCGCTGCTCCGCGCGCAGCTTTCCACCTGCAGCGCGCAGCCGGGGAGATCCCTTCGCGGGCTAGAGCACCCCCCACCCTCCTTCGTCGGCGAAACTTGGTCCCGCAGTGACCCTCGAGAGACTGCATCTTGATACAGATCGTTTACGAGCCGAGATAAGGCCAGGAGGCGGGATTGGCCGGGAGAGCGGCTGAGACGCAGGAGCATTTTCTTGAAGGGTTTTTTTTTTCAACCGGGAGGTGGGGGCTTTTGTGTTGATGAATGGGGCCCCGTTTGCGCGGCCAGAGTTTTCGATGCTCGAAGGGAAAAGTTTCTGGTATGAAGCGCTTAAACGTTCGCTCAAGTTGTCAGAATTTACGTTTTTATAGAAACAGAGGCAGAGAAAGAAAGGGAGGAAGCAGTAGAGAGAATAAAAACAGTAATTGGGGAAAACAGTAAGGGAAGGCAAGTAGGGAGAAAAAGGGAGAGAAGGGAGAGGAGCAAACCTGAAGACAGAGCAGTGCACGGGGTGGGGGGTGGAGAAAGGGAGAGAGAGCGGGGGAGAGAGAGCGAGGGAGCGAGAGCGAGCGAGAGAGAGAAAGAGAGAGAGACTAGGGATGAATGGGAAGGGCGAGGAGGCCGGGGAACCCGCGAGCTCTCTCCAGGCTTTGCGTTGCTAGGTAGCAGCCCAGAGCTGCGTGTGACCGACCACCAGACAGACAGAACGGACGCTGCTGCCTCCGCAGGGACTAATCTGTCTGTGGGGATGGGAGAGTTCTCCCCCCACTTCCCTCCCCTCCTGCCCCTTCCTTCCCGTCGGACAACTTAATTGCCCTACAATGAAAATGAAACCCCTATTGTTGTAGGATTAGCCAAAGCAATAAATTGATTTCCCTGGATCACATATTGGGGTTGGCGGGTGGGGACTGTAGAAGCCCCCATTTATGGCAGAGAGAGGGAAAAGCTTGTGGATGGGCGGTGGCATGTATTCAAATGGTTAATCTGCTTTCTTTCCTCAATTCTTAGCGTAAGCTCCTTAGAGGGAATCAACTAAATAATTATACAGCAACTCCTAGCAGTACCCATTTCAGACTTCCTGAGAAGAAGTTTGGAAACGCCAACAAACCTCATTGGTCTTGTAAAATTCTTTGGAGAGGGAAGGGAGGCAGGGGAGACTGTTAATAATTCTTGCTTTGCACACCTTTTCTCAGGGTTGGTAACACAGAAAGAGGATTTATTATTATTGTGGAGGGTTTGCCGCAGCTCTTAGGGTGATAAACATCTTATGTCCTAAGTATAGCCATAGGATTTACTATATGTTCCTGTCAGTGCCTGGCAAAAGGAAATCTTGTCCGGATTCATCTGGGATATATCTGGATTGTCCCCATACAACCAAAACAGGTGTCTTCTCCCCTGGATTGATGGTTTAGTCACCAAATAAACTGTACTTACTCTTTTTTTTTTTTTAAGTTTTAATGTTTATTTTTGAGAGAGAGAACAAGTGGGAGAGGGTCAGAGATGAGAGAGTTGGAGACACTGAATCTGAAACAGGCTCCAGGCTCTTGAGTTGTCAGCACAGAGCATGCACAGAGCCCAGCACGGGGCTGGAACTCAAAAAACTGTGAGACCATGACCTAAGTGGAAGTTGGACATTTAACTGGCAAAGCCAACCAGGCACCCCTGTACTTAACTTTTTGGTGGTTTACATCCATCCATCTTCTATGATAATATACAGTAATATTAGTACAGTAATAATAGCACCTCATACACTTATATGTGGCAGACCCTTTTCTAAGTGCTTTACACTTATTGACATTTAATTCCTATAATACCCCTTTGATATGTCTTTCTGTATCTATTTTACTGCTGCTAAATGGAGGCACAGGGCAATGAAGTAACTTGCTCAAGGTCATACTGCTAGAAAATGGCAGAGCTTTGAGGCCAATCCAAGAGATTGAGTCCAGAGGCTATAATTTAACTGCTATAGCATGTGGCTCTCTCCTCTATTTCCCTGTCTCTTTTCTTTTGTACTAAAAATGCCATGCTCCCTAAGTTACTACCCATGGATGAGTTACTAACGAATCTGAGTGGTATTTTACAAGTGTTTGCCACTTATGCACCATAACTCTGGATATTTTTTCAGAAATTCTTCTCAGGTTCTATCACCTGACCCCTAGGTAACCTTCCTGGAAGGTTGAGGAGATTTCTAGATTCCTGTTGTATTGACTTATCAGGTGAAGTAAAGTGTGATGACATTGTAAATGTCCTCATTTGAGCACACATTTTAGGTAAGATCTTTCTGCAGAGTTTGCATCATTAGAAATTGGAAAAGGTCTTTCTGAGTATTTTATGTTTAGTCTTTAAAAAAATTATAGCATATATATAGCTAAAATTATTTGTATTTTCTTCATATTTTGTATAATGCTCTTAAAAAATATTGGGAGAACTCTGAAGTCAGGCTGTCTGGATTCTAGCAATGCCTTTACTACTTTCTAGCTGCGCGATCTTGGGGAAGTCACTAAACTTTCATGGCTTAGAGTGCTTATCTGCAAAATTGATATGATACTAAGAGAATGTATTCCATGACATTTCATTAACATAAAGCGATACAAGTGCTTAATGTATAAGGCATATAGATGATCATAACTAGCAGCCATTATTATATTACCAACACTAAAAGTAGTTGTTTCTTTTTTTGTTTACTGTTTGTATTTCTAATTTCCATGTGCACATAAGGAAGTCTTCGGCATTTTTAACTAATATTTCTTTGAGGAATTCCCAGATCCCAATGTTATGACTGAAAGTTTTTAGAAAATGGCATTGATCTTAAAGTTATATTCTTTCATCCAATAGAAGCTTGGTTATGCCTTTTAGAGTTAGTAACAGCTTTATGACAGTTACACTGTCAGGTAAAGTTTATGTATTTAAAAGGATTATGGGCCCAGTAACACACAGGCAATACATTGGTTCTGTCACATCTCTAATACCGCTGCTGCTTTCATTTCACAGCAGCTGGCTTCTTTTTCTCTGCTTGAAGTTCTTCCTAGCCAGTTTTTATAGGGCTTCTGCTCAAACTCCCTTCAGTCTTGTGCCTGTGCTGTTCTCATTGAAAGTTAGATTTTTACAGTTAGGGGAAACCTTAGCTATCAGCTGGTTTACTTGCATCATTTTGTAGATAAGTAACTAATCCTGGAGGGAATGATAGGGGACTGAAAGGAGGGACAGGGAAGTGGTTAAGCCCTTAGCCTAAGGGCATGTGGCCAAGGATGGAACTAAGGTCTAAACCTGCTCTTCTCTTTGTGTCTTCCTAATTGATCATTTTTAGATATGTGTGCTTTGGATGTCCTCAGCCTGGTTGGTTGGGGAGACCTCTGGGTTGCTTTTCTGTCGTTGATCATGACCTGTGATATGAGGCAAAGTATGATGAAAAGATCACTTTGGTCAATCCTCTTAAAAAGTAGGATGGGTGGGTCACATATTCCAGGTCTAAGAGGAATCTCAAGCCTAAGAGGATAGGTTAATACAACCATGGTCATGTGTTTCCGGCTTGGTCCAGAACGTATGCCATGTTAGTGCCCTAACTTTTTAATGTCTTTATTTTTTATTTTTGAGAGACAGAGACAAAAAGCAAGCAGGGGAGGGGCAGAGAGAGAGGGAGACACAGAATCCGAAGCAGGCTCCAGGCTCTGAGCTGTCAGCACAAAGCCTGACGCAGGGCTCGAACCCACAGACGCTTACCCGACTGAGCCACCCAGGTGCTCCTAGTACCCCAACTCTTAAAGACCATATCTCTGGATCCATTTTTCAAAATCTTGGGCCATCAAGGCACATTCCTAAGGTTTCTGGATTTCTTAGTATAGAATAGGTATTTATTCTTAGTTGAAGGTAATTGTTAGGTCATTTTTTTTTTTAAGTTTATTTTTGAGAGGGAGAGAGAAGGTGAGCAGGGGAGGGACAGAGAGAGAGAAAGAGAATCCCAAGAGGCTCCTCAGTGTCAGCACAGAGCCATATACGGGGCTCCAACTCACAAATCACGAGATCATGGCTTCAGTGGAAACCATGATTCTTAACTGACTGAGCCACCCAGGTGTCCCTTAGGTTGTTTCTTTAAAATGACCAGATGGGTTGCTGTTTTGAAATATCAGACATTTCTTTGATGCTTCATGTGTTCTGTTGGAGTCCATGCAAATGTTTCCTAAGTAATTTTTGACAGCCTCAGCATTTTTTAAAAGTTTATTTATTTCTTTATTTACTTATTTTTTTAAAAGTAGTCCTTTAAATGATGCATCTGTGCATTTTGGTATATCATTTAGTGCTACAACTTTAAATTTGTTGTCATGTTTATTTTTGAGAGAGAGAGACAGAGACAGAGACAGAGTGGGGGAGGGGCAGAGCAAGAGAGACACCCACAGAATCTCAAGCGGGCTCCGGGCTGCAAGCTGTCAGCACAGAGCCTGATGCAGGACTTAAACTACAAATCTTGAGATCATGACCTGAGCCAAAGTGAAGCCTAACCCCCTGAGCCACCGTGGTGCTCCTTAGTGGCTGCAACTTTAAATGTCTGTCTAGACTCGTATTTGTAAATGACAGAGATCTAAATTAAACTTCCTGGAG